ATCAAGAATCATCTTAATTATTCTCACTAAAAATGACCCTAAATATGAGTTTTTTTAGTTGATAACTGCATCCCAACGAAATGAAATTTTTACATGAGAACAATTGTTGACATATATAAGCTGACCCAGGAAACGAACATTATATGTAAAGAATGTCTCGCAGACCTAAGATCCTACGTTAGATCCTTGAATATAGGTTCGTGGATGCACAGTGCTGAGGAGTAGCATACTAAGAAGGAACCCCCTTCGAGAGCTTCCAGGTTTTCAATGGTTGTCTTATTTTGATCGATTAGTGATTTCAGTCAAAACGTATTTTATTTCAAAGACAAATGAAATGTAATCAATTTTAAAATATATTTGAATTGTTTACATTTAGAGTATTGTCTGCGCTCAAATCTGTCAGTCCTATCAAAATATCATGATTAACTGCCTTGATGTCAAAGGAGAATGGAAAAGCTGACAGAAATAACCACCAATCCGGACACTTTGAAATCTTCAGAAATCCCATGAAACTTATTCATACAGCAAATAGATTTCTGAACAGATTATGGTGTTTGTTTCTTTGATGTCAGAAGATGAAAGCCATTAAGCTCCTTCAGCTATTTAGATAGTTAATTAAGTTATATTTCAATATATATTTTTTAAATAGAGCATAATATTCCCCTTAAAAACTTCAAATTATCTCACTTCTGTCCACTTTATTCCTATTTCTATAAGATCTGTTAGGTCTCTGTTTGCCCTACTTTGAATAAGTACATTTTTAAACTGAATGCGACTTAGTGAAATGCCATTTCACTAAACACTCAAAACAAAGCCACTACTTAAAACTCAATAAAATAAGTTTTTGTAGACTATATTAGTCGAAGATTAATCTCATCTGTGTAGGGATTAATGAACAGAGAGCATTAGACTAATGTCTCCTAGTATGGGACTCTTTAGAGGTACAAACGCCTAACAAATATGATCAGTGTCATTGGATTATCATCGAGTTATATTACAAATTGATTGAAATTAAAATTATACCACTGTATATTGATGTAGTTGTTTTAATGGTCAAATATTCACTGTCAAGTCCGAAGGTCCTAGTGTTGATCTCTGGTGAGTATGAATGAGGAGTCGTATATTTGGACGAAATAGCTATCTATTGCTTGCTGGTTTACAGATGCGCCCAAAAGATATCACTACATATGTATATACAACCATAAAGTATTATTACTTATTCACCTAAATTGAGATGACATATAACAGCCATGATTATTTGAATGAGTAATTTTCAGGGAACCATTATTCCATAAATACATCTTTTATCATTTTCTCAACTGATCAACTGACTTATTTTGTAACTGGTCATTTGTGTTTAATGTATTTTAGATGAAGACTACTAGCCAAGTATTGTACAAAGTCGAAAGGCATTAGCAATGACATGATAACGGATTCATTTTCCCTAGATGTATGTATATATGTCAGATATCTTAAAATGATAGTAAATGCATTAATTGCAAACATTTTTGGTTCCTCAACCTTAAAATAAGATTTTATCTGTTTGACAATTTTTTTCTAACGAAGTTTAGCGTTTATAGTTTTCAACGCAGTGCATCTTACGATTAGATTTTAAAACTATAGAAACGGAATAAACTAATGGATTCGTAATTCAGTTGATCACAAGGTCAATTTATAAATTAGGTCATAGGCACCTAACATGTTACTAAGTTATTAGAATTCAAACCTTCATTTTAATACAATTGGTCTAGAGGTTAGGCGTTCGAGCGCAAGACCGATGGGCCCGGGGTTCGAATCTCGTGAGATGGGATCGTTGATGCGCACTGCTGAAGAGTCCCACAATACGGCAAAACGGTTGTCCAATGCTTTCAGGTTTACCATGATAGTCTCACTTCAATTGACTCATCAATTCAACTAATAAATTGCTATAATATCCATAAAACCCCTTCTGATACAATTGAATAGTTTAAAAACATAATAAAGTAATCTAAATTAGTTATTGCTCTCTTTCTCTCTGTCTCTTTGAATTGTTCAGTCATGAAACACTTGGCATAAACAGAACAATGTTTAAATTTAAGATTCTATTTTAAATGGTGTCGTTAAGGAATTTCTTAAAATCCCATTTTTTTAAAGGTGAAAAATTTCATACACTAAAATACAAACAAACAAACAAACAATCCAGATATTCATTGTTATTGTATGAAAAGATTATAGATACTGAGAATCATTCACAATATGATTAGTGATTACTATAAAAAAATATTGATTATACATATTTATTATATTCGTTGAATGGTGTTCAACTCCACTGAATATTTGTATACTTTTCATAAAATAATCATACAATATTTCTATATAGTGGACATTTTCATCATGTTAATCTATGTATATAAATATAAGTGAAAATCAAACAGTGATGAGTGATACTTTCATAACATAATCAAAAGTTATAAGTAGAGATATATGATAGCTAGCAGTGGATATCAAGATGTATGCTTCGTCCTATTTGGTTTGAGTTCTGGTGTGAACAATAATTCGGATGTGGTGGGTGCATATAGATGACGAATCACAAATAGGTTAAAACGCTCATTCTAGACTTAACAGATAGCTACCATCCATTTCTGCTTAAAATAATTGTGACTGAATGACTATTTCGAGGCAATCCGTACACATATGTCAATGTCAATGTTATTTAATTAAATATAAACCAAACTTATTTCGAGGAGTTAGATGTTGGTGAAACGAGTATTCATATTGTATGAGATATGATCTAACTTTCGTATCATGACATCAAAAATATTTAGGGCAAAAATGACATACTTATAGAAGTCGATTGACAAGTATAACATTGGTTACTACTCACCGATCAATCAGTATGAACATAAGTCCTACCAAATGTCAGTCACGAGCTGGATAGCTCAGTTCACGTTTCTTGACGAGTATTATTTTACTTAATAATGTTTCGTGCAAAATTTGTTGATAAAGAAGGAACGAATTGAGCGAAGGAAATGGGAATTTCCACTATATTTGTTCATATGTTCCAACAGCATGAAACTCAAATTTCAGGCTTTTTGTCCAATGTCTTCAGATATGTAAATATATCAACCCCTAGTTTTCTTAAAGAGCTGAAATCAAATAAGTGGATTATCATTATCTAAGGACGTTATAGAAAAGTATAGGATCGGAATGAGCCAATCAGATACAGCACTGAGACCTTTAGGTTTTTGCGGAAAATTCAAATATCATTTGTAACGATCGGATACACTTCTAAAAGATTCAAGCCACAAACAGCTGAAGTAACAGTAGCTCTTCACCAAGCCGGCTCCCATCACCGTAGAAAGTATGTTTCTCTCAAAATTAATGGGCATGATGCCCGCTTACAATTAGACACAGCCTCCGATATAACGCTTATAAGCAGGAGAACGTGGGTGAAAATTGGGAGACCGAGAATATATCCAACTCTTCAATCAGCACATAGTACGTCTGGGGGAATTCTAAACATTGCTGGTGAAATTCATTGTGAAGTCACGGTCAAAGTTTATGGAGAAGGGCGTAATGTTTCTGACAGACCGTCCATCACTCGACTTACTGGGGCATGATTGGATAGAAAAGTTGAAGTTAACAGACCACCCCATAGACTCGATCTGCAACAACGTTAGTACGTCGAAAGTTGAGAAGGATACATTCGAAAGAGCACTACTGCAAGGGGAAGGAGAGGGGACAAGTCAGCCTAACTCTATTGTCCCAGAAGGAAAATCCCTTGTTTAAGTGATGTTCGGGAGAAACATCCGAACTACATTCGATGTCATGTTACCACCTAAACAAATGGATGGACGCAAACAAAATCAGAATATCCGTAGTTTTAATGTCGGTGATAAAGTGCTCGTCAAACCACACATTGGGAAAAATCGCTGGGAACCGGGAGTCATTGAGAAGAGAATGGGGAATGTTTTAAACAAAGTGCGTGGGACTTTCGGAATGTGTATTAAACATATTAGTCAAATACGCAGAGAGAGGACTCTAAACACCGTAGATAGTCAAGTGAGGCTTCCGCTAGATATAATTACAGATACTTCAATGACAGGAACCCCAACAGACACTCATAAACGCTGGATACCAAGAAAGTCCGAAAGCAGCGGAAAACCAGTTATCAAGCTGCAAGTAGACCCGAAGAAGAGGTCTTATTTTTTGAAAGGGGGGATGTGTTGTGATGATCCAGAAAAGTTCTCGCAAAAGACACACAAGGGTCAGGAAACATTAAGAAGTATTTCATCCAATCAGCGTTCACTTGGAGTTTAGCCAGAAACATCAAGGATGTGAAACGTCACATGTAGGGATTCTGGTTGGTTGACTGTTATACCGCTACTATGTTTAGTAGCATCCCAGAATCTTCGAGTAACCCAAGCACATTCAGAATATTATAAAACCCTATGTTTTCTGTATCAAAATGAACCTTGGAGTAAAGTACTTTTCGCATACTTTGTGCCTTCCCTCTCGTGTTCGGGTCGCTGTATAGTTCTAGCTTGGGGGTTTCAGAATAGCTTAGGAATCGAGTATAGCGATCAAATCACAAGACTTATTAAGTAACTTGTAAAAGCAATCAATAGATTCATTAAATATATAAAATCTATTTATTATTTTTTTTTAGTATCAATTAGTCATTTACAAAGCTGTTCCCTGATTGACTGAGAAGTGGCTGAATATTCGTTACAATTGATTTAAGCTCGTCCCTATAGTATACTCCACGATGATTCTCCTTAGAGAATTGTCTTATAATTCTCATCACTGTAAATATTTAGCGAATTAACAAATAAAGACTTTGTAGGCGGTGATGCATTTACTACAAAACTATTTATATCGATGAGAAAGATTATGAAAGAAACCTATACAATATGAAAATTAGGAAACTGATAATAAGCTTTGTAAAATTCTAATCAACATCCTAACAACACTTCATTAATTCTGTTGTAAAATATTTTTCGACATATTCAATCACTCTGTTTATTAGTTGATAAGTATCTTCAATGATTATGTGGTCAATTAAAGAATCATTCAAATTCAGGTCGATAATAGGCTTTTTACTCATTAAAAATAATGAAAAACCTGGCTAGAAACAATTCTGTATTGAAATTAATTTCATGTAAAGGAATCCTTTCAGATTTTGGAATTGTATTAATAAATAATGTAAGGTTCATCTTTATTTTCTTTTTTTTTTTAAAGAAAAAACCCCCAGAAATAACTGTTATTTATTACAGCACAATTCATTATTCAATTAATCCGTTTTAAAAGAGACAATTCAATAATGTTAGGGTTAAAGCTTACAAGAGAAAGTAGGGTTTTACAACTATTGACAATTCAAGAAACATACAGAAGATAATCTAGACTGATTGATGCATCAGAACACAATTACACATTACTAAAATATATAAGGGAGAAAACTGATACAGCAAATCATCATGATTAAATTTTAACATAACTACAGTACAGTTTTGCAGGGTAAGCTGTAATTGGTGTGTATGTAAAAAAAAAAAAGAAAAACAAAACAGTCACATGAACCGATCGATGCATCATTGATGAAACTAAGATTGTCCAAAAAGATAATTTACTAACTGATAAAGAAGCATTGTGATTACGTAACAATAATAATAATAATAACAATAATAATAATAATAATGATAGTAATATGTTACAAGAGAAAAGGTTAAATGAAATGAAATTTTGAGTAAATTTGATATTATTTTCACTTGTGTTGATTTAAGTGAAATTGTTAATTCTATTCAGATGTCATCAATTTATAGAATTCTAAAATGTATGAACAAAGAACAAACAAACAAACAAACAATCAAACAGATAATACTAATAATTAGAAAAGAATTCAAAAAATACAATTATAACCTTAATATTGATAGTGGTGTATCCGAACGAAGAATAATGAGTGGTACCTGTTAGGATCTATGTATAAATTGTTATGCTTATTGTATAACTATTTAACTATATTAGGTGTATATTCATGTTCCTTTTATTATAAGCTTCTAGTTGACCTATTGACTACTATTTTACAATTTAATATTCTTGAGATATTCCCCATTTATTAGCTACAATCTCTCACAATCATAGACATGTTTTGGCTAGATTTTGTATAGTTATTATTTTCTATTTTATGGTATGATGCGGTCTGATTTACTAGTATATAAACCTAGTATGTTTGAAATATATGATTCGTATAACGGAGGCTGATATTTACTTTCTGTACTGAACCAGTTGAGTTAGGCTAGAAGTTACTATCTCAAATGTTCATTAAGAACTCTAGGTTGTTTGTACAGGTTTTATGCGTCATTGATTTGGTCGTATAAGTCAGTGTCTCAAATTAGCGATACCATCTCATGATATGTATTACAAGACAACAAGCCATAACAGAGTTTAATTTCGGTGGAGAATATGAATGTGAATAGTAGATGATAAACTGTTCTTTTTTCATAACTAAATGTTAATACTAAGGCAACAATATTCTCAAGATACCCACACACACATGACAACAAACACTAAATCAAATTCAGTTTTATACAGCCATATACATATATAACTTTATACAGTTAGAAGTTAATAGGCTTAATGAATAACCTATGACGGTTTAAGGTAAAAAAATACCAGATTCGAGTAATTGTGTGAATATGAATACAAGGATATATTAATGAGATCCATTTAATGAATCCTAAATAGAATAAGAGTATTTTCGGTTCTTTCTAAAACTTGTAACTAAACAGTAATATTGAAACAATCCACTTTGGATACAAATACCGATAAAAACTAATCAGTCGCGACCCTTAATATCAACATTCAAATAATACAAAGCCTAGAAAATGTTTGATTTATTTTATATATGAATACTGAGGATTTGTGAAGATTGTTGAGGTAACTAGAAAACTTTCGTTCTAGTATGAAGCTCAGTAACATGACCGAAAGACCACATAGTATGTTTATTACCTGAAGTTGGAGCTAAATGTATGATCACAGACGGTTCTGCTTTTGATCCATGGAGGGATCATAGGTGCGAATTGCTGCAGAGTCTCAAACTAGTTCCCAGATCTAAAACTTTATTATAGACATCTGATCCTTCAGTGATTCACAAAATTACAACAGTCCTCATAACTCAAACAACGTTTACTGACAGTTTCTAATGATCGGAGCAACGTTATCCAATTGACATACCAATGTATTTATATGATAATCAATACATCATTAATAATCATAATATTAAGTATCATGACTTGTTTAAAAGCCATTTGATCTTTAAATTCGCTGAAAACACCTTCTAGTGTTTTTTGGTAATGCTTTGTTCTGTCTGTCGGCCAACCTCATCATGAAATCCTTATGTATAAATCATTTGTATTATAACAGAATTAAAATGGCTGTAAATATTTCAGAACAGAAATTATCAGATTGATGACTTGGTAGGGATAATTTTATTGACGAAAAATTTAAGTGTTTAAAAACTGTATTCTGCAAATGTAAATAATTTTATTGATTTATCTAGCTAAGTAGATGACGCGTTAACGTTTGAGGTGAACGATACTGGGTTCAGGTCTCGGGGTGAACATTATTTGGGATGCGGTAGGTATGTACGGATGACGAGTCCCGAATAGGATAAAACGATCATCCTGAACTTAACAGCTGGCTAACATTCATCTCCATTCAAAATGCTTGTGACTGAATGACTGCTTTGAGACAATCCGTACAGGATGCACATATGCTAATAAGAGACTGATTAATTACAGTCCTCAACATCGATGGGCAGATCCAAACAACCAATATATAAATGAATAAACTTACCATCAAAATCGACAAATCCCGATCCATCGGTATCAGTATCTCGAATCATGTCATCTATTTCTTCTTCAGTAAGATCATCACCTAGACCTTTTAATATCCATCTGTAAGAAGGATGAAATCAAAAACTTAATGCAAAGAAATGTTTTCAAGCATTTCATGCTACTTATGAGTAGCTTACTTGTGTATATAGAACTATAAGCTCACGATTACATTTAGGTTGGACTGTTGGGTGTTTTATTATATTACGTAATTGATCCCTTCATAAATTCGAATGAAGTTATTATTTTTCGACTTCTCACTTTATAAATCCAATAGAATATAATTTCCTTTTCAGTCAAACTGTTTAATACTATCTGGTCTCCGATGTATTAGACCTCATACTGATATTAGACAGAATTGCTTTTATTTTGTGTTGAGATCAGGCTGGTGATATTACTGGGCTATTGAGATAGGCACAAGCGGAAGATCTTTATGCCTACTGGCTACAAGATCAAGTAATTATTTATAACTAGAAGTTCACTTCAAAAAATCCAATTAGATGATGAATATATGAAACAAGAGTGGAATTATCTGAATTTACCTTAAATCTTCGACATCAATTTCTCCACGTTTATTTTTGTCCAGAACTCGGAATGCATCTCTTAAATCTCTTTCATCTTGATCTTCTTGAAGTTTCTTTCCATAACAAATTAGAAATCCATTGAAATCAATAAATCCGGTAGCTGCATAGAGGAATAAGGAAATAAGAAATAGAGATTAAAAATTCTGTAAAATAATGACAGGAAATTGTAGCTGCATATAAAGGTTTGGACGATTGTATACTATATGGTTATTGGTAAAGAGTCAACAGTTTATTTTTGTAGACAATACTTAGGAATTTTCAAGTGACTGTCTTTCACTTTCTACGAGATACGAATTGATAAAATCTAGTATCCCAGGGACGTTAAAATTCAAAAATAAATATCATCACTGTTATTATACAATAGAGGATTGGTTGAATATATTGTGTTCTTTAATCTGTACAGTTTCTTTGTGAAGCTTTTATTATCCTTTTGAACAATATCATCAGCATATACTTAAAAGAGAAGTAAACTATTTGAATCTCTTCACAATTGAATTACAGCATATTTTATTGAACCAATTAAAAATCAGCCTAATGTAACATCAATATATTATTTTATTGAACCCCTAGTTGAGTTTAGTACAATGGTATTAGATTCATTCATGTACTGGCTAGAGACGATTTAGAAAATTTAACGGTGAGACTATAGTCTACGGACGACTTTTGAGCAACCTTAAAGTAACCTTTAGAATGTTCACCTGCTTAGTAGGGCTAAATGAAGGTTATAAAGCAATGTGATGAATTACAATTATGATTTACAGTTGATAATTAAGGTTAGGAATTCAATTTAGGGTTTTCATCACAAACCGAGATCAGCTTAAATGTTAAAATGCTATTTAGCCAAATGCATGAATGAATTTCGCTCCAAAATCCAAGACTCATTATTTTATATCTGATTAGTTCTTCCATAAATTATAATCTCACCGATTTATCTAGATCTTTTCTAAAATTTGGTCGGTATATATAAACTTATCATCAGCTCACCAAAAAAAGTTTTATAAAGTCATATGAAACATCAATCTAATATATAGAGTCACTAACACAAGTGTTAGAATAGGATATTAAGAACGAATAAATTATTCATTATTATTGAGATCATGAACCGATTGATGTTAGACCACCATTGAAAAGCTGGAAGCACTGGACGGACGTTTCGCCCTGTTGTGATACTTCTCAGCAGTACGAGAGAGCGGGATCGTGGACACGCACTGTTGAACAGTCCCGCAATAGGACGAAATGGCCGTCCACTGCTTCCAGCTTTTCAATGGTGGTGCAACACCAATCGGTTCATGATTTCAATAAAAAACTTAATAATCTCCACAACCCCTATACTGATGTTCATTATTAGTCATAAATCATTTTTGTCTACTTATAAATACAAGTAAATTCAAGTCAGTAATGACATTCACTAATATGGATTCTAATGTGATTCATCATATTTCTCAGCAGTTTTCTAAATTCACTACTTTGTAAGTTGTTTGTACTGTGGTAATTTAAAAAGTAAGTCTCCAAATAATGTTCACCTATGTTTCATGCGAATTGTCACTCGATGAAAGACCGTACCTGAACTCTTGAGAGAAATTGTACTCCTTATGGCGTCCAAATGCCCAGGTACAACCGAGGGTGAGGAGAGTTATCTCTCCATCTCGAAATGCTCTCACATGGCCACGCGTATACAGCCACTACCAGGGAAGTCCTACTCACTGCCTCCTCGAGGCATTACTGTTGTTTACGAAATTGAGATGACAAAAAGCGAATTTCCGGCGCTTTAATTGGGTTGGTGGATATGGAGGATCCACCCAGTGGAGTTGGAAAACTCTGATTTCGAACCAATTATATACATGGGCTCCACGATCCTAAGGAAACGAATCGCGCATGAACCAATTGTTGGTCACCGTCTACAACGGGACTACATTTCCTGACGTTGCTCCACTGTTTTGTGGATTAAGACCTTTAGGTCGAAGGCTCCGGGTGTGGCCATCTAAGAAAACCACCTGTTTCAGTCTGGGCACCCGGGCAATACCCCAGCCCTCACACAAATCGAATGATTTATGTGGCGCATATCTATTTGGTTCCTCCTTGTACCAATGTGTTTAAATAAATAATAAATAAATAAAGATTTCATTTCAAGCTGTAACTCTCAATTTATTTGCTTTTTTCGTCCGGCAAGTTGAAATGCTTCGAATTCACACAACACATATGTAGATAGATAATTTCAGATGGATAAAATGAAGTCCCCAGTGAAAATTATACTCTTCTATGCAATAGTAATACATTTTAAATGAACAAAAATACTCAAAAATATTGAATATTGCACAATTATTGAATATTGAAAGAGGATAACTATCCTCATACGAAATAAATATAATTATAGCTTAAAATAACCCCTACATCCACTTGGTACTTTTTACTTGAATCTTTCCGATGTTTGTGAATTAAGGCAATATGCGCAGTGTGCACATATGCCAATAAGAGACTGATCAATTGCAGTCCTAAACATCAATGGGAAGATTCAAGTAAAAACAATACCAAGTGAATTTAAATTCACTCGATTGCACAAGTAAGTAGCTATCTGGATTCAGTAGCTAAGTGGATAAGGCGATGGTGTTTGAAGCGAATAGTACTGATTTCGAGTCCCAGAGTGAACATCAACTCTGAAATGCAGGTACATCTAGGTGACGAGTCCCAAATAGGACGAAACGCGTGTCAAACTGGATTCTACTGCTAGACACTATCCATCTTTGCTTATAACCCTTACATTTCTACTTGCTAATAAAATCACAATTCGATAACCTTTTTTTATAACCTTCTAGCTTAATGTATTTACCTACCTATTAACTTTAAGTATTTCAACTAATCAATTAGTCAGATAGTTACATTTCAACTGGCTGATTGTAAGTGGCAATGTGTATTGATCAATATGATAATTAACCAATCACAAAATAATATAGAAGGAAGAATAGATTAAAGATAGATCGATAATCAAAGAACTGATTATACAAGTGCATATTTTCTATCCCATGTTTTTTATTGTCCAAAAACAAACAAACAATGTACTTGCTTGACATAGTTTAAGAATGTAATGGGGTAAGGATAAACTCCATTCTTGTTCGTAATTTTGACCCTGCACCTGACACTAATACGTACTTCATGATGTAGGGTGTGTTTTGCTCTCTATCGTTTTTACTAGCTTTTACATGGAAAAATGTGGAGTTTTCCACGTTGAAATTACCAATCCATCGTGCCACGAACGTGTTAAGTATAGCACAGTCAGTCATGATGGAAGAAAAAATATAACACAGAAAAAGACAAATTCATTTTGTGTTGCTTATTTGAATCTTCCCATTGATGTTTAAGACTTCAATTGATCAGTCTCTTATTAGCATATGTGCATCCTGTACGGATTGCTTCGATATTGCCTTAAGTCACAAGCATTCTAATTTAGATTTAATGCAAGTTATTTCGGTGTTGACATTTATGAGTTCAGTTTCATGAAACTATTCTTGTTTTGAGCTATTATATTATCAGTTCTGTTGTATTTGTTTGCATCATAAATCTTGAATTCATTGAATAATGATAGGGAACGTGTGGATAACACTTGTTCTTATTGTGTTGGTAATTATCTTCATATATTAACATACCTAAGCCTAATCAAACACCAAGCCGAATATTTATCACTTAATTTATTGTTAACTCTTTATTTAACTCACTAACATTTATAAATAGTTGCTCACTTACTAATTTATTCCTTAGCTAATCTAGAATTCTTTTTTCATCTAGATTGATCATTATTTCTTTTCATTGTTAAAAGAAACATTTTACCGGAAAAAAATAATTTCTCTTGATAGATTAATGGAGAGATTGTTTTCTCCTTAACTAGCTACATCAATCAAATTACTGTTTTAATACTTGATTCAAAGTTCCTTCATATGATGTATCTAGTGACGAAGACAATTGTCATTTAGATGTATATTCTGATGTACTAATGAATGACTACTTGGATGTATTCTGTTGTAAGGAGATGGATGTGTTGGCAACATCACTACTGAAAAGATTATTGGTAAAAGGTGTCTACGTAAAAACACTGAAATTCTTACCATCGTCATCGACCTGATCAGCCCATTCTTTCAAGGTGTCTGGTTTAACGGTAAGATTAAGTGCACGAAAAGCTGGACCTAAATCAGTGGTGCTAATCTTTTCTTGTCCTCTTTTGTCAAAACGTTTGAAAACATCTTTGGCAACTGGAAAAAAAGAGCAAGACGGAAGTATTGCAGAATAAGTACATGTATATACATTCCTACAATTGAATAATATATGGAACTTAATAGGACTGTCAGCCAACATCAAAGTTAGAATTTCCAACACTAACGTTAAACTAGTGATATTATACAGACCTGAAATTTAGAGAACTCAGTATGGGGATTTATGGAGATTGTAGTATTTTAGTGCTTCCAGTGCTGCTTTAGCTTAGATCGACTCGTGAATTTAACTTAGGGAACTACCATAATTGTCATCAGAAATGTACTGGTATTTATAAACAGCTGTCTGCTGAAGACACTCCAGATTTGTTTTCTAAAGACCATCAGAAATAACCTACTATATCAGAGAATAAACCAGGTCTCAGCTGAGGAGGAAATAAAGGAAAGACACTGGAGCTATATAGGTCACACTATAAGGAAACCATCAACATGCATCATAAGGCAAAAGGTAAAGAGGCAGAATAAATAACACTTTACGCCGGGAATTAAAGGCAGACATGAAGATGATGAGCAGCATTTGACATCAACTGGAAAGGAGAACTCAGGAAAGTTGGTTGGAGATCCGTGGTCGATGGCCTATTGCCTAATAAGAGTGACAGAATCAAGTTAGTTATCAAGTAAGAAACATGTAATACATAAATTGGGACAATGAAGGAAGTAAATTCCGAATGACGTTGTACATGAAAGTATTTCAATGAAATATGTCTGAACAAGGATAAGAAATCAATCAACTCTCCATCGACTTTTATTATTCTGATCAGTTATATCGAGCCCGGGTGGAATTTAAAATCAACAACCTCTATTTATTCTTAAGTGTATAGGTGACGAAATCTAACTTGATCTTAAGTTACTAGGAATCACTAGTATATGTGGTAATGATTTTATGATTCGTAACAGATTTAGTACTTAGATAAACAAACTATAAAATATCTTTATCTGTTTCCACTGAATAACTTTAATTCTCTTGTTCCATACTATGAATAGAAGATTTAACACTGACGTCAAAACATCGGAATTTAGATGGGTTTAAAATCTAGGTAAGAATAGTTTCCTGTAGTTCAGCCAGTCGTTTCAGAAATTACGGCTTGAACGCAGTGACTTAATGGTTAAGAAGTTCGACTTTCAATTAATAAGTCTCAGATTCGAACCCCTCTTCACTTATGTCCGTTCAAGGAAACTGGTTGTATCACTACTAGCTCTTACACTTGAAGCGTGGCTAGAAGCCAAGTGCATAAATCTGTACCTGGCAAATAAGTTAAATGATGAATACATACAATGAATGAATCAGAACTGTACCACGAAAATCCATACAAATCAAAGTGAAAAGAATTAATGAATAAAACAGAGAGCAATGATATTTCACCTTTTACTTGATCTTCTTGGATTGTAAAATCATCAATTTTGAAAGCCTAAATCAAATATAAATAAACAAAGAAACAGGATGCAATGTTTTAAACGCTCAGAAAAATATTAAAAGCAAGAACACTTAATAACTGTACGTTTTTACCATATACTTGTCTCAGATCATCGTGAAGACTTGAGTTATCCTGTTACTAATATCAGAAACTGGATTTTGATCAGTCTTCGTTGGCATAAGTGTGCCTTATGTAGATAAACTAGAATAGATGGATAATGGCTAGCAGTGTGATTCAGGACACAACTTCCGTCCAACTCGGGACTCGTCAGCTAGATGTATCTGCCACATACTAGTGTTGATATTCACACGAAGACTTGAACCCAGTCATTTTCGCTTCAAACCCTCAATGCGTTACCTACCAAGCCAATGAATCCAGACAGCCACTTTGATGTGAATATCAATACTGAGATGGCGAAATGAGTGTTCTAAGCCCGATTGTTAGCCACATACCAAATTATTTTTCTGTTTATCAATTAAGGTGAATCTCTTGATTTCATGAAAAATTAATTCAGTGTCAAAAGAATAGAGAATATTGATGAGTAACAGACTATAGTTAATAGTTAGTTTAGATTTATAATGAAGTTTTTATCTTGAAATTATTTGCCGTGGTTTCGTGGTATTAATTGGTCACTTAAATTTTGATTAATGTCCCCGAGTTTGATCCATGGATTTATAGTTAAAAATTATCAGTCTAAATTATTATGTGGTAACCTTTTTGTCTAAACCACTTTTGAAGCTATTATGCCACTCAGAGTTATTGTGTATAGACTCATGCATTAACTTCAAGACACATCGTAAATGTGACGGCTAGTGATACCAACCAGTTGTCAAAACGGAAGTATATGAAACGGTTTTCGAATCTACGACTTAATGGTTAAAAGTCTAACGACTTAATCACCGAACTGCTTATCCATCATTAATCCGAAATTTTGATAGTTCTGTTACAGCTTAAATATCACTGTAAATATGATACTGGGTGTGTTGACCTGAATAGTTCTTATCTCAGTGATGTCCTATTAGGCTAAAAGCCTCACCAATTAAGATCTAGGATAACGTGTCAAACGTTTAGTGCATTCACGTGGAAAACACGACGGTTTTATATTCCGTACTCCTAATAGTGGATTTTTAGTATAAACCAACCTCACAAAATGTTTGTTCAAGTATTTCGCCATTTATATGGATAACTTTGCTTATCTATATATAGTATGCCTGACTTTATTATGTATGTAGAGATTTTGCACAACGAATTTACAAAATACAAATACTGTAGATACTGATGACTAGTTATGAGATACATTTGTCAAAGTACTGATTGTAAGCTAGGATTTGTAGGGCTAATCAAGTTCTGGATGATGGTATTAGCAACTCAATTATGATATTCATTTAAAAATGATCCAAATTACTGACTAACTGGATTTAAAAACTTGGAGAATTAGATTACGTCTCATTAGTCCAAACGTTTGTTATCTTCAATGAGATATGGAAGTCATAGATTCGATTCAATGTGACATCACTAGTTATGATTAATTATTGTTGAGAAATTCAATATAGAACAATAGATATTTAATGCTCTACATTTTTCAATGATTACCCAGAGGATATCGACAGTCGGTGGAAATCAAACTACTAAGTTAACATTATTATTGTTACTAGACGACAAATAGAAATGCATAAGCAAAACACCTTACAGAGACATTAATTAATCGAATTTCGCTATTGAAATTTGTAGAAAGTGTCTTTTGAGACATTTAGTAATTCTCCTGTTTAAAAGTAATGAAGAATGCATAGGGAAATCCAATGTATATAATGATAGCACATTATTTCAACATTACAGTTTTCTATAAGTTATTTCTAAGCTAATCCATCTTTCCATGAGTTTTTAAGATTGAGTGATATGGGAAAATAGATAGGTGTATACAAATATTTAGGATATAATTTATACTACTAATTAGTAGTTGAATACCATTTGAAACATTTTTCTCGGTGTGGAAAAATAGAATCTCAATGTGTCAGAATGCTTGTATCAGTCAGTCTTATTTGATAAAATCTAGTATACGAGGATCAAAAACTCTGTTGAGAAGCGTGTGGTAACCCTTTTATGTTCTGTATCTATACAACACATTTTCCATGGTAAATCCTATATATTGATCGGATTAATGCATTTATAGTGATCCAACCTTTATTCCCATTATCAATTTAGGTTACTATTTTGCTTGGTGTTCCCCATGACTTGTACTTTTGCGTCAATTAACAGAACTATTTGGATATTTTCCTCAACTCAGTTTACCACAATTCTTTTATTTCTATTGTATCTATCATGTTAGCATTATTTATTATTATTATTATTAATTCAGTTGAAAGATTTTCAGCATTCTAATCTGTTGACAAAGAAACTAGTTACTTTTATTATGTATTTGGTAACCTTTTGAGACTTCCTTTTTCTAAAAAAGTTTACTTTAATAGTTACAAATTATTCGTAAAAGCATTTGAATGACAGATCTTTTAATATATTTTACATTGACATATATTTCTTAAGGTATTGTTGTAAACCAAAATAGAATAATGAAATAATGATATCCCAATGAGTAAAAATAAGAATTATAATTCCTACTTATTTTATTATTAACATCCTACTCAATGTTTAATTCATTTGAACTTATCAAATCTAACCTTAGTGGATACGGAGGATCCACCAAGAGGAGTTGGAAGACCCTGATTTCAAACCAATGGTGCACATGGGCTTCAAGATCCTGAAGAAACAAATGGCGTATGAACCAATCGTTGGTCACTGGCTATCATGGGACTGCATCTCTTGACGTTACTCCGTTGCCTTGTGGATTAGACCTTTAGGTTAAAGGCTCGAGGTGTGGCCTTCTAAGAAAACCACCTGCTTCGGTTTGGGCACCCGGGCAATATCCCAGCCCTCACATAAATCGAATGATTTACGTGGCGCATATCAATTTGGTGCCTCTTTGTACCAATGTCTATGTGTTTAAATAAATAAATGGTGATTATAATTACAAAATAGATTCAGTCAGTCAGTCAGTAACAACGTGGAACTTCGTACGTACGTACATCAGTTCGAGTTGCCATACCACATTAGCACAGAGATTCAGTTATCGATTCAAATCCCATAGTGGTAAAGGTACTGAAAGTATAAGTAGAGATAGGGGACATTAAGGTTTGATGATGTTATTAAAGGAGTATAGTCCAGTGGAATAAATTGGGAAAGAAAATAAAGAACATGAAGAATTCAGAAGATTAGAGTTTCAGAGAACACAAAGAGTGGATGCACCTGCGCCATTGCAAACGATTTTGAGCCATGTCATTCAAGGTCTCTAACCATCGGTTGCTATCGTCTCGCGGTCCCGAACCAGGTAGTCTACACCTACCAACATGACTCAGTCCACTTGTCAGTGACTTCATGGATTTCTGCCATGTTTTGGTCTGGCCGCCCCTAGCTTTCTTCCAACCTACTCCTACACTATAAAACATAGCACGTCGGGGCAGTCGGTGGTCGGGCATGCGCAACACATGTCCCAGCCATCTCAAAATAGATTAGTTTATAGACGAGAAAAAAAAAGACACTCAATACACTTTATTTCATATAGTTACAATTATTTTACAGAAAGATAGTTAGATTATGAAAGATCCAAACAAACACAAATGAATGACAATGATTAACTTACCATTCTTTGAATTAAATTTTTACGCCAACAATTACGAAGGACTTTATGATAATTGTGTAAATCAAATGAATTAATCCAAGGTGTAGTTCTAGTTGACCCTGTTCTTATCGACTGATTACTGTGATTTGTTAAACACTGTTTCCTCCTTAATAATGATGGTGATCTTTTGTAGATTGGATTTAATGGTATAATTGATAGACGGACAGATCTAGCGCATAAACTATGCGATCTTATTGATTGGGATGTTTTATTTAACTTTTTATTTTCTAAATGAATAGAAGGTGTCCTCCTTATTGGTAAGGGGAGTAAGTATTTATCATTCAATCCATTCTGTGTGTTACCAATATGTGTTGATGATAAATGCGTTTGTGGTGCTAATTTATAACTGTAATTCTTGTGTAGGTGCCTTATTGATTTACAATGTTTTCCTTTAATACCAAAACAGTCTATACTAATACGGCAATCTTCCCAATCTGCACCACTGTGTTGACATGCGGAGGTAGGGGAGAATTTATGACATATGTGATTGACCAATGACGGTGAAGTGTGGCCAGTATTGGCAATTATTGATTTTTGTGGAGTAAAATAATTTGTAGTATGCAGTAGTGGTGGCAGGGATGTAGAACGTAATTTTTCACCGAACCTCATGGTAGAGGGATTTTCTTTTGATACTATATGATGATTATTTATGTTGTCATATAAATTTGATGGAGGCTTGTAAAAATTTTGTTGCACACAATTGTTGTTTACACTATTAATACTATAATTGCTATTACAGTGATTACTAGTATTATTATTATTAGTAGTATTATTGATACTTAAGGTAATGTTATAACATCCATTTACTTTTTTATAGGAATCATTATTGAAACGTGTTGTTGGCATAGTAATGTACTGATCAGATACATGACGATTAAGCAAACGTGATTCATGTAAATTCTGATGACTTTTCCATTGTCGTTGGAAATTTTGTGTATTTGCTGTGAAGTATGATACCGGTTGCTGATAGATATAACCATCATTATTGATTTGTAAGTAGGTTCGCGTTACCATATTACATAAACGATCAGTTAAAATGAAAAAGCACTTTTATGAAAATCGAAAGAAATCTGATTGGTAACTATGAAGACAAATCTTACGTGTTATTTGTTCGTATATGTCCAGTTGTCTAAAAAAATGAGATTAGTATGGAAAATAATGTTAAGAATAATGATAATAATATTTACAATTGGTTAGTCACGAATTGGTGACTAATGCCATGTATGCTAATTCTTTCTTAATGCTGATTGAATTCCATCGATCAAGTTTCAGTGTGGTACTGATCTAAGTGACTCGACATCTCTCATATATTCATCAATATTAATATGACTGTAGAGGGTTAGTGTGGATGATCGAATTTTATAATTTCATCACGGAATAACCTTAGTTAGATAACTACTGAAAAATAGGAAGCATTAGATAGCCATTTATTCTTAGTATGGTACTCCTTAGTAGTGAACATCCATATGTCATCAGGGACTTTATCCATGCACACCACATCTTTGCTTACTTTCTATCCAGGTTTTACTGCCAGTAATCAGTATCAAACTGAAATTAATTCATAGTTTACATCACACAATGAATTTAGTTAAACATCCATTGAAAAGAATTTTTGTAATTCTGTAGAGTACAGGGTAAGGACAAAACAGATATGTTGTGCCCTCACTAGTTCTTTCAGTGTCTGTCTAGTTTTCGAACAGTAAACCATTTAGACTGATTATACAGTCTCCAAAACCTTATTATACCAATAATATGAATTTACCTTATTCATTTCATTCTATATTGAAGGATAATTCAAATTAATGTTATTTGTTTTTTATTTACCAAAATTGTTATCTAAATGAATTGGTACTTCCGTGTTATTTTCACAGATAAAGTCAATAGTAATTTGGTAGTTGGACTCATGAGTCGATTGAAGCTAGACCACTATAGTAAACCTGGAAGCACTGAACGCCCGTTTCGTCCCATTATGGCACTCCTCGGCAGTGCGTATCCACGATTCCACCTCGCGAGATTCGAGGAATTCCATACTTGGATGAAATGGCCATCCAAAGCTTCCAGGTTCTCCATAATGGTCTACCTTCAATTGATTCATGAATTCAACTATTAAATTACTATAATATCTATATAACCCCTCTCTGATTAAAGTCAATAGGTTTAAATTAAAAAGATTGGTGTTGAATATGTTTACCAGTGGATGTCTATTATGATTAACCATTTTGTAAATCATTTTAAAAGTTTATTTAATTAAATATAGAATATAAATTTAAGGCGAAAATAATATACGTAAACTTGAAGCGTGAATAATATCAAAAGCTGGATCATAATTAAGTTGAATAACAAGTTACTACTTATCATTGACAAAAGTTTGTAAAGACTTCTTTCTAGCTCTAATATCTATATCACTGAATCATTGGTTGATACATATAAATTGTTCAAACTTCAACTCAGTTACCTAATCAGTGACAATCTAGCATCAGATCTCTTGTTTAATTTCATATAAAATCAAGAATATACATTATTGATTCATTCGAAATGAAGATGTTTCATGATCTTTATTGTTTCAATTAATCTTAGTTTCTGAAATAAATCATAAAGAATTTCAAATTGCTTTTATTTATTAGTTTATGTTCACCAATAATCAATCAACAATGATGCCGGCTCAGTGGTCTAGTGGTTAAGTGCTTGCGCGCGAAACCAGTAGGTCCTGGGTTCAAATCTCGCAGGGGGTGGGGTCGTGGATGCGCACTGCTGAGGAGTTCCACAATAGGACGAAACGGTTGTCCAGTGCTTCCAGATTTTTCATGGTGGTCTAGCTTCAACTGAATCATGATCATAACCATTAAAATTACTACAATCTCCACAAAACCCCTTCTGGTAATGATCAAATAATTAAAAAAAATTCGGGCACAAATTTTTTATTGATTTGAATTTTCAAGGTTACTTCGTCGTTACCCAATTTTACCTTGACAAAATCAGTTTGAAAAAAAAAACAATTGGACGAATAATTTTGCATTGTCAGTTTTTCTTGAATTCTTGAAATTATTAGACAAGAAAGCCACAAATACTGACATTATCATCTTGAGTGTTTAAACATATAAACATGGAAATATTATTACTATGAAGTAGTATATATGCTGCCTATGATGAATGCCAAAATGAACTACATGTTTATAATGTTAGATGTTTTTGTTTAGTAATTTCATATTACAGACTGACTTCAATAAGATAAACATTAAAAATAAGAAAGCAAACAACAACTGTTTTGTGCATTTATGGAGAGTTTTGGTCTTAAGGATTGATATTTTTTTATCAGGGAATGAAATCAAGACTTTCAGGTCACGTGGTGACCACTTAATTTTCAGACCACTGAGTTGGCAACTTATAGTTCATGTATAACATCTGAATCGATTCATGATCATTAATGAACCGTCGTCTGTTGCCATTGGTTGCCTTTGTTTCACTTTTAGTGTTGCTTAAGTGATTACAGTTACTCATTTTGGTATTTATCTCCCAAAGTTAGTCAATAGTAAATATATAACAAGGAGTCTACGAGACAGTGTTAATTGTCTAGGTGACATATAACAGCTGATTTTATTTTGTTGGGAATAAATCATTTTGTTCATTCTTTCTTAGATTATTTATTCTCAGTTTACAAGATAACCATAATATAACAAAATTTCTGGTGAATAGTATGAATACAATTTATACTATACATTACCAATAGATGTCAGATTATGTAGTATTATGAAAATCAATTCACTCATGTACGTGCATTTACTTACTTTAAATAATAATACATAAAATTCTGTTAGTTTACCTTATTTATTTATTTATTTAAACACATAAACATTGATACAAGGAGGCACCAAGCAGATATGCTGGGATAGTTCTCGGGTGCCTAAATCGAAGCAGAAGGTTTCCTTACGAGGCCACACCCGAAGCCTTCGACCTAAAGGTCTAGTTCACAAGACAGTAGAGCAACGTTAGGAGATGCAGTCCCATGGTAGCCTGTGACCATCAATTGATTCATGCGCCATTCGTCTCCTTATGATCATGGAGACCATGTACACTATTGGTTCGAAATCAGAGTTTTACAACTCCCCTTGGTGGATCCTCCATATCCATCAGCCTGGTTAGAGCACCAGACATTCGCTTTTCGTCCTCTCAATTTCGTAAACAACAATAATGCCTCGAGGAGGCAACGAATAGGACTTCTTTGACGGTGAGAGAGAGAGCTAACTCTCCCCACCTTCGGCTATACCAGGGCATTTGGGGCCCTGTTCAGTGTGAAAGTATTTCTTTTTATGAACTAAATTCATTAATAGAGGTTACTGGATAGCTAATTCACTCTAATTCGAGACTGTTCAGTGATGTATACTTGGACTCGATCGAATCTATTTGTTAATGAATTAAACTAATAACATTACGAATCTAATTATAAATTAATTTATAAAATAATTTGTAATTTTTCACCACTTTGTCATGTGGTAATTATAGCAAACGAATTGAAGATTATTGGTAAGATTTATGTTTGCATGTAATAAATTATTTAATGTAATTTTTGTAATCATTCTACTAAATGGATGAGTTTGGTGGATAATTGAAGCACATTCTACTAATTTTTCCTCATTGATCTAAAGGTCTAAGGGGTCTCATTTTACGAATTATGAATGATTAAACTGTCAGCAGCTTTCAGAGATTGAGTGGACTCTTAAGTGTCGGTACTAATACAAATAGTATTACTACTATTACTTTTACTATTACTATTACTATTACTATTACTACTACTACTACTACTACTACTACTACTACTACTACTACTACTAGAACAGTCGATTGTTCAATAAATCAATGATGATTAACACGTCTTTTACAATTATGACAAGTTTCACTATGGGAGATTAGTGAGTTTCATTTAAATTATAATATAACGTTGTACACAATAACAAAACAGTCAATTACACTGTCAGAAGAATCTTTAGTAGTCACTATGGTTGACGAATCAATTGATCGTCAGATGTTTCATGTAATACTTGTAGATATGAATAGAATTATCTAAAGGGCCAAAAATCATAGGTTTTATCATTGGAGGGAACGTAGATGAATTTTGTTGACAAGTCCCATACTAGGATGACACATCCGTTCAGTGTTTCCTAGTTTTCAGTGGTTGTCTAACTAAAATCAGCTTGTGATTTAGGTAATAAACGGTAGTTTATACCAGAAGGGGTTTGTGGATATTATAGTAATTTTAATAGTTAAGATCATGAGTCAATTGAAGCTACACCACGTTAATCGAAATCAGTTTCTGCATTTGAATTTTAAAGGTAATAAAACTTGTTCAGAAAGTAAAGTAAGAATAAAGTACTCTTCCGGGTCATTGTGCGTCAGTTTATTGCAATCTGTGATATTTATTGTAATAAATAACAGTAATCTGTTGTTTCCCGTGTGAATATCTTAGCCTTACATGAGGTTAGTTTGAATCCAAAAAACTCGGTGGTTAGTTCTGTGGTTGGGTTTCTGAGAGAATAAGATTTAAATCCTGAAGAAAGAATTATTTTCCCAAGGATTATAGTCATTCCTTTGTTTGCTTTCACAACGGCAGAAACCATGAGGCTTACAACAGGAGAAAATTAATTTTGCGAAAATGTTTGAACTACTGATTAAATCTTAAAGTAGTATACAGATGTTAAACGATTTTCTTGGAAATATGTATCCTGTAGATTAACAATAAGATAAATGAACAAACAATTTCATTACACTGAACCACTCTACAATATTTGTTCTTTCTTGTTAAATAGAAGTAATGTATGGTATTTATAACGTAAAAACCAATTCTAATAACTCAACATTTTATTTCAAAACTATTTAGGTTACTAAATAAGAACTTTCGTCTAAATTTGAACGAATAGTTTCACAATATTTGGGCGCCGAGTTAATGTGAGACATTAAAGAGAAAAAATGTATTTGTAAAATCTCAGCGAATGAATTTTAAGTAAATCCAACGTTTCGCCTGGCAATCTGGTCCAAGCTTTTTCAAGGAAAATATAATCAAACAACAAAATTATCGAATATAAATAGGTACATGGTTCTCTGGTTTACTGTATACTGAATAAGTCATCCAATCAA